AACATCTTGTATGATGATTGGCATTTGGTTGGTATTTTTGACATTTTACATTGATTGGTTAACATTAACATCTTATATTTAGAATCTTTATTCAACAGTTGCATATTAATGTACCAAATAAGTCTATACATTTAAATTATTTCCTAGTTTCTTAAAGAAACTATAAAAAAATTTTTTATGTAGGAAATTCACAAAGCATATAACTTGTTTAGCATTTTGTTAAATTATCCCCCACACCCCATTTTTATTGCTTAGGAAACAACATTGTCTCATAAGTATAATTTATTTAAATATTTATCCTCTTTATTTTAGTCTGGCTGCCATTAGAAATAAAAATATACAAATCATGATATCCATTTAATAAAAAATAATTTTTTAATAAATAAAATTCTTTTATTTTAAATTTTATGTAACATATTTGATTGGTTGATCAAAGTAAAGCCCAAAAAAATAATAAAAATATCAATTTTTTTACATTTGTAAAAAAGGTTGTATTTTGGATTTAAAATCTAAATAAATGTTCAAATTTAATTTAAATGGGTATGAAGAGATGCATTGATATGCATTGAAACATGACTGCAAATTGTGTATAAATTTTGACATGTTTTCAAATAAATATCCTAATATATATATATATATATATATATATTTAAAGAAGCAGAATCAAACTTCAAATAACAGATTCTATAAACCCTTATACATTTACCCAACTAGAACATTCAAAACAGAATTATCACTTCTCCTCAGAACCTGAACCACAACATAAAAAATACACATAAAATATCTTTTTTCCTGAGAACCCTAAAACAGCAAATTCTACACTATCCCAAAACTACATAAACTCCCAAAATCCTTTCAGAAAAATTTAACACTTTTCATCTAACCCACATCAAATTAAACAATCAAATAATGAAGACCGTATCTATGAAATTTCAAAAAATTTAAAATCATGCCACCTGGTAGACCCATAATATCAGGCATTGGGAAATTTGTAGAACTTATATTATAACATAGACAATATCCTAAAACCTTTATTGCCTGACATACCTAGTTATATTAGAGACACTACTGACTTTCTCAACAAATTACAAAACATTAATTAGTCACCATGATACAATCCTAAAAACGATGGATGTTTCGTCCCTTTACACATAAAGATTCCATTATGTTGAAGGAGTATCAGCTTGCTATGAGTTCCTTAGTAACAAAAAAATTACCTAACTACCAAATTACAGATATATGCCAATTAATAAATTTCATCTTAACACATAATAATTTTAAATTCAACAACAAACACTATTTACAGACTAGTGGCACAAATGGGCAAAAAAAATGGCACCTAATTATGCTAATATCTTTATGACATTCTAGAAAAGAAGATACTAGACAATTCAGAATATAAACCATCACATTACTTTTAGATATATTGATGACATTTTCTTACTATGGACTCATGGATCAAAAAATTAAAAACTTTTTCACTTTCTGCAACAACATGTATATATACAATTAAATTTACCATGGAGCACTCATACACATCCATCCCTTTCTTAGACGTTATGATAAAATTAAACAAACATACACTTTCTACCAGTCTATACAACAAACCCACAAACCAAACATAAATTCCTGCACTTTAACAGCTGTCAAAAAATTTAAATTAAAAAAAATCTATTGTATACAGCTCATTTCTAAGAATCAAACGCATATGCTCAGACCATTTAGATTTTCTATACAATATTAATAACTTAACAAAACAATTCCTAAAATGCAAATACCCAATAAAAAAAATAAAAGAAATACTAAATAAAACTATCCTGATAAATCGTAACACACTTCTCACATACAAGAAAAAATAAAACAACAATCGGATTCCCATGGTTTTTTTAACACAATCAATATTCCCACACACTTATTCACAATTTAAAAAAGGATTACAAGAACCTCCAATTAGACAACAAGATCAAAGATATTTTTGATAAACCACCCATAAATGCAAAAAACATTATCACCTAACCTATCAGCTATCCTCACCTCTACCAAATATCTAAACAATAGAAACCAATCAGGAAATTACAAATGTAACAAACCTCGTTGCTTAGTTTGCAAACATTTAATAATAGATAATATATTTTCTGTATGACCAATATCAGGATACAGCCATCTAACCTAATGGAATAGCCATAATGTAATTTATTATTTATTCTGCAACTTATGTCCTAATAGTGGATATATTGGTGAGTCTGGAAATACGACATTGGGATTTCCAGTTTTAATAACCATAAACAAACAATACGTCAAAACAACCCTTATTCCCCATAGCTAAACACTACAATCAATCAGGACACATATTAGAAAACTGCAAATGTTTATTGATAGATTCTGATTTTACTTCCACATTCACACATGGAAAAAAAAAACTCGGATGAGTTGGATTTTAAAAATTAAAAGGAGCATAAACTAGGGTTGAATAGGGACTTAGGTGTTTTTTCTTTATAAATATTTCAATAGTTAAACAATTTTTTTTTAGATATAGTTTTTAAATTTTTAAACAACATATTTTAAATATTTATGACAGTTAGATTTAAGTTAGGAATATCTGAACAGTGACGTTCCATATCACGTGATGTCCGCGTCTCATGAAGGACGCTACTTGCTAACAAACAGTAATTTTAATTTTATTTGTAACAAACAGTTATTTCTGATGAAAAATTGAGGACAATTTGAAATATCAAATATATATATAAATAAATAAATACTTTCATAAAATAAAACATTATAATTTTTAATTTGAAAACTTTTTCTATATATATCCAGCTGAATGAAATTGCTATGACCAAGTATGCCTGTCCTGCAACTTTACTCATGAGTCCAAAACTTGCCTGAAATCAACCTGTACAGACTCCTCTTGATCTTCGTTTTGTGAAGCCAATCATGATGATATTCATTCATATATATATATATATATATATATATATATATATATATACATATATACACACTTAAAAAATGAGAGCTCAGTGGCAATTTTCTTAAAATTTGCAAAATTTATGTTTGTTATTTGTAAAAAGTAATATTAATGTAAACTCTTAAAGAATTGATAAAAAGAAACAAAAAGCTTTAAAATCAAGTATTTTTATTGACAACAGAGATTATGAGTAGATAATTATAGATTATTAGTAATGATAAATTTCAGTGGAACATTTTCAAAAAAGAATCAAACATTACAACATTATTAGCTTAGAATATGTTGTGGAAAGAATGAGATTGTTGTAATAGTGTATAAAAAAGTTTTTCTACATAAGATCAAAATAACTATTGAAACAAAAAATTATGTAGAGTAAATATCAAAATGATAGTTTAGTTTCCAACATGAATATTAATTAGTAATTTCTTATAGATAAAAATATTTTAACAACTAATTTTTGTTGCCAAGTATTCAAAAGAACTTCCTCTGCTTAGGCAATTTGAAAAAAAACAAAACATTAATTTCCTATTATTTTAGATGGGGGGGGTGCTGTTTATAATATAAATACATCTAATTGAGCCCTCACTTTTTGACATACATATAGTTTTCTTTTCTTTTTGAGGGGACCAGTTTATTTAAGTATTACTGTTTTAAAATGAAATGTATTATTACTATGTAATGTATATGTCGACATATGAGGTTCATTTAATTTCTGGTAGATATAAATGTTGCAAGATTGAAATAAACTTGTAACATTTGTGGTTTGTTTTTTAAAGACCCCTTGACATTAAATATGGGCGCTGTTGAATTTTGCTGTGCTGCTGCAGTTTAAACTCATCCCTATATATATATATATATATATATATTCTCCTTTTTCTGCACCAGTTATTGCTATCCTACCAGCACATGTATAGTTCCAAAGAGCTAATGCCAAGTTATGGGCATTTCCTTTCAGAGATTTTTCATAAAAAGGTATAAATATACAAGAAATGCATTGATAGCAAGGCTTCTCAAATATGTCAGTTGCAGACCACATACAGATTACAGGAGATTTATAAGGAAATAAATCTAATATAGAAACTGTCATTTCAGAAAGCTGACAAAATCATCAAAGTAGTTTTGTAACTGGATGTAAGAAAGAATGTCTATAATTTAAAAAAAAATTAATTTGTAACTAGAATGTGAGAAGGGGTTGATGAAAAGCTTTTTAAAGAAAATTGTAATGTTTGGTCAGATTTTCAGAATTAGTCAGGTTGAAAACTTTCCAGCACCCATTTGTACAAGAACATAATTAAGTATAAAACAGATTGTACAGTTTTAATCAAAAAAAAAAAAAAAAAAAAAAAAAAAAGTTACAAGTAAAATGTACACAGAAGAATTAAACTGAGATATTTAAACTCAGAAATAGCTGAAAATTCTAGGGTACATAATGAGGGCTTTGGAAATTTGACATTCACAAGGTATATATTGGAGGCAAGAGGGAGAGAAGAAAACAGCACATAACCTAACTTTAGGAAAAATAACAAAAAGGCAAAATTTACTAAGAGTTACAAAGGAGAGGAAATTGTGGCAAGCCATGATTGCCAATGTCCTGAATGGACATGTTACATAGAAGAACAAGATATGTTCATCAACCTATGTGTGAATCTTTTTGTTGCTGACAATACAGACTAAGAAGTTAGTAAAATTAGTTTCAACATATTTTCCAGGTAGAATCCAGAGATTTTGTTAAAAATGCTATTGAACAATTAATTCTTGAAATTGAAAGTTACTTAAAGTAAATTATCTAAGAAATGTACCTTGTTTTCTCTTTTATGGAGAAAATAACATGATTTTACTGAGGCAGTCAAATGTAAAGAATGAAGAAAAATATTTATTTCCCTGTTAAGATAACCATCTCAAACAATTTATCCCATCAATTATTTTAGCTTTCTACTATATTAAATGAACTTCACTAAAAAGTTCATGGAACTATTTTATTCAAAACAGTGTCAAATAATATTGCAATTTAAATTATCAAATGTTTACTTACTGATGCGTTCTCTCTTGACACTCTTTGGAGAATCTTCCTTGTGGATAAACTGAATAATTTGTTCCCACTTTTCATCTGTAGTTTTCACATCATTTGTATCATCACTGTTGACCATTGGATCATCAACTGAAACATCATTAGTGACCACTTGATCATCAACTGATACAATTTTAGGTGTTGTTGGTGATTGCATTGGTGTCTGAGGCAGTTGTGTCTGTGGTGAGACTATTGCTATTTGGGGCTGTACTTTAGCTGTTTTTTGTTGTTCTTGTGACTGGTGGTGGTGATGAGAGTGATGATGATGATGGTGTGGTAATTGTAGCTGTTGTTGCACTGTTGGAGATTTTTGTTGCTGTGTTTTTTTTTGTGTGAGGTTGTGTATTGTAGTCTGCAGAACAGGAGGACTCTCACACAAAAGCTGTTGCAAAGAGTTCTTAAATGGCACATCAGGAGAGGAATGAGATTCCATGTTGCTAATTGTTGAGTTGTGGCAGCAATCAACTGATGAAACCTCCTCATTTTTCAGAGGTTTATTCATCGGAATGCAACTAGTACCACTTGTATGGAACAACTTGTTGTTAGACTTATTGTTACTCACTGTGTCGCAAGTCACAGTGCATGATGGTACCACAGAGCTTTGTTTCAATGGCTGGAACATTTTTGATGACTTTGTAATAGCTGTATTGAAGCAAGAACTGACACCTGGAACCCCCAGAGGTGAACCAGTAGAACTGTCTTCCCAGTTCTGTGCAAGTACAGAGGATGTTTGCAATTGATTACAGTTTACATTTGACACAAGGAACTGACCACGTAAGTCTTTAAGATTGGCACCAGTACTGGATACTGCATTATTAGCAGAGTTAGTAGTGCCAATATTACTGCTACTTGCTCCACTGACAATGGCAACATTGTTGCCACTGATATCACTGCTGTTACCCGTGGTACTGTTATATGAATAGATCTCATCACCAGTAAACTCATCAATCAGAAACTCACCAAAGTTCAGTTAACTTTTCAGAGTTGGTCCATGGTCAGTTTTTTTACCCTGAAATATCTCATCAAAATCTTTATCTTTGCTCCACATTGTGTCTGCACTATACTGGAGTTCTGGGGAACCTGGCATGTCAAAGAAATTGTTTGAGGCAAAACTATCAGTGTTGTTCTCAAAGTGTGGCTTCAAATCAAATTCTTCAGTGCCAGCTATGATCCTGTTAGAACCAATTTGAAGACTTTGGCTTCCCCCCATCTGGCAAATGAGAGCCCAATCTTTATCTTGTTCATACATATGGGTAGAATTTGGACTGTACGCATTTGGGAATGGGTCAATTGGGTATATATCATTAGGTAGCATGTGGTCTGCAGTATGTGGAGTATTGCCATAGAGGTCCATGTTACTGCTTGTAGGCTGTAAGCAGAAAAAAATTAGAGCATTGACTAAGTCAAAGTTTAATAATTTGTGCTTAAAAAGATTTCAATTTACAAAAATATATCAAATAATATAATAACAAAATAAGCAGATTTGTTAATGACAAGAAAAAGAAATCATTTATGATATTTTGATATTGTATTACAAAATACCAAAACTTAAATATTTGATCATTTTATTTCAGAAATAAAAATGATTATTTTTGCCAAAAAAATAATATTGTGTTGATGTGCAAATGAGGCTGTATTCAATTGGAAAGAGTTCGACACTCAGTAGTAATCTTTCCTTGATTACACTGCACACTTGTGAGAACGAATACACAATACAACAACATGGCATTGCCAATAGGATATCTAACCTTATTAGAGGATCCTGAACTGGTTGAGACCAGGATGAGATGTTTCAAGGTGTTGGTGAGAATCAAGAAATTGAGTGACAGCAAAGATAGAGGAGGAGTAAATGAAGTAACGGATTTATTTCTAGTACCAGCCACTTGTGAGGCCATAAAAAAATCTCTATAATGGTATATCTGAAGATGCTAGAAAATTTGACATTTGAAGAAATTGCCAACATTGTACAAGCAAATGTACATCTAAAAAAGAAACTGGTCATAGCTGAGAGGACAAGGTTTCTTGAAATCAGGCAGAACTTATATGAACCATTTCACAGTACATTCACAGGCTAAAAGAAGCATCAAGGTACCGTGAATTTAAAAAAGTTGGGTACAGGGTGGATGTCTATAGAAGAGGAATTAATACAGTCAAGGCTAATTGAAGGATGATATGACGTCTGAAATAAGTACAAAATTTTGGAACAGGTTCTGAGCAGATTGTGTAATGCTGGTATGAGAATTAATTGAGATAAATGTGAGTTTAACTGCCAGAGTTTAATTGTTTCAAGTAAGTACAAAATTTTGGAACAGCTTCACATTGAGAACATGAGTAATGAAATGTGTTTTGAATTTTTACAGCAACTAGAGTTAATTCAGAGACTCAGTACCCCTAAGACTAACATGGAGATATACAATACTATGAAGAGTGTATGTAAATGTCGTTTTTGTGACAAAGGACATGAAATGAATAAGTATAAATGCCTGGCTTTTGGAAAGATGTGTTTTAATTGCAAAAAGAAAAACATTTCCAGTCAGTAAGCAAATATAAAAAAAACAGTAGAAGTGGAGAAGGTAGATACCCTGACAAGAAATACCGAAATTTATGATGGGAAGACACAAGAGTAGAGAAAGGGTGAAAATAAATAGAATAACTGTACTAATGCAAGTGGATATGGGCAGTGATGTAATGTTAATACCCAAGAAATTTGGGGAGAAAATGGGAAGACTGAAATTAAGGCTATATGCAAAACAAATGGAGATTTAAGAATTTGTGATGACTACAAAGTTGGTGTAAATCATCAGATATGTTCGGACACTTTGCCAAATGTTGAAATGGCCTGTTTGTGGGCATGAAATTTTTGACAAGACTGAGCTGGAATCTGTATATAATAATATTCTAAAGAATAAGATGTAACAGGTTCTAAGCAGATTGAGAAATGCTGGCATGACAATTAATCAAGATAAATGTGAGTTTAATTGCCAGAAAATTCATACTTAGGGTATCAAATATCTAAAGATATAAGTAAAATATCAGAAATAAGTATGCCAATAAATAAGAAATATATATATATATATATATATATATATATATATATATATAGGTAGGTAGATAGATAGATAGATAAATATATATATATATATATATATATATATATAGTACTGTGCAAAAAGTAAGAACCCGTTAGATAATGTCTCTTTTTTCCAGATATTAAACTTCTTAATTAAACATATTTTTGGTCAGTTGTGTATACTGAAGTCAACCAAAAAAACTCATTGTTTATGCAAAAGGCTTCAGTTAAAGACTAAATTTAAAAAAAAAATGCCAAGATCAGTGTGACACCCAAACGTTGGCCTGTGGTCAGCTCCCAGTCACGGCGTGAAGCTGTAATGATTCTTCTACCAGTGTTTTGGGGTTGACTCTTCGATCGGTGGTCATCACTACTCGGTGAAATCCCATGGTCAGGATATCAATATGGGACACTGTCCCATCCAGGGTCGAATTCTGGTCGTCGATGTTAATGGCTTCACCAGCTGTACCAGTTCAATACCAGCTCTATTGTTCCCAGGTCACTTGCAATGTCTGGTTACTGCTTTGATCTCAAGTCTAACCTACCCACGTTGTGACTTTGATCTTAGGTAGACGAGATCAATCAGGCGTCGGGCAGTAGTGTAGGCCGAGTCCGGACTGAAGGTGGTATTGCACAAGCACAAAGGAAAAAAAAATAAATAAAAGAAAAACACAAGAGATTCAAGTATGTTAAGAAATAACAAATTAACTTTATCCTTCTGTTATATACAGGAGTATGTTTTTCTCCCAGCCCGTTTTCTACAAAATCTGACACTTCTATGTTTCAAGCAAGTTGGCATCTTAAATCAACCGATTTGGTTCTTCTGTGTTGGCTTGGTTTTGTTCGTCAGTATAACTTGTTATTGATAGGATAGGTGAAGTTGGAGGTCGTGGAATCTCTCGGTCAGCTTTTGCGAGGCAACACTCTGGTTAAACTCTGACTAACTCCAAAACCAGCTCAACCGCGACTGCAACTCAGAACTCTCCGAACAATCTGAGGATGTTTGTTTATATGGGTACCGACCAAAACACGGTGCGGGGCCAGATGCGGCCTGGGGTTCTCGGTAAATCTCGATTTCTAACAAGAAATATCTTTGTTGTCAGGCCAGGAAATTTGATTACTTCCCATTTTTGGAAAATTAATCACTTTCCATTTCGGGGGGGGGGGTCTCCGTCGTCCATGAGGGAAGGTCAAAGGAGAGCTATCCTCCTAGACTCTTTCTCTCTCACATTGATATCTTATGCCAATCCCTTCAGTGGGCGTTAATAACTTCTCCGTCTTTCTCATCCATTCACCTCTGCCTATCACTATTGCTACCACTCAACAAATGGAATCCTGGCCGTGTGGGTGTGGCTAAGCTGGCCTCCTTAAAATTGTAATCTAGCCAAAATTGGCCAAAATTTTTACGAATTCCATATTGCCAATTAAATTTCTATCATATCTTCTGGCCACCCAGAATTCACTTTGCCAGCACTCTCTACTGACTCCATCAATCACTGTCAAAGTTTGCATCTGGTCCCTTCGTGAAGTTAGCTTTATAATGGAATCCTTGGCTTGTTGAGAAATTAAATTCTTTTATTTCGCCAAATCTCAATTCTCCACTGTCTATTTTCTGTTCTCATGCCAAAATTTTACAAACGCCATATTGCTATTCAATGTTTCAGCGTCTGAAGCGACACGATAAGGTAAATAGTAACAATCCTCTCACCTATGTCGAAACAATGCCAAAATTTTATAATTGCCACATTGCTTTTCCTCGCTGGTGGCCAAGAAAAAAAAAAACGACATCTTGGAAAGATAACTAACATTGATTTTCCCTGCCTGTATCAGCGATTGTCTCAAGCTGAAATTTTTATGACCGCCATGGTCTGGCCGATATCTTAATATTTGCCTTTCTTTCTATCTCCCTCGGCAAGACATTAATCAACCTGACAAAACCTCACATATGGCTTTTTCCACGGGTTTACTGTCTTTTGTGAAAAGTATCTTTTTCATAAATAAAATAAAATCTTTTTAACATCGAACAGGATATCTTTCGGGATAGTTCTTTTTCGCCTTAAGTATTTCCTGTTTTAATTTCTATGGTT